ACAAACTCCGCCTCTTTCTAACTAATTAGATAGCAGTGAATGAAAAGAAACTAGCCGTGTACTAATCGACTTTTTATCGTACATATCTTACTAATATTATAAACTAGCTGTTCCCGTGCGGCTTCATCCGCAAGAAATTCTGAAAAATTTATTTTATTGTTTACATTTGGCAAATTATCAATAGCAAATGTCAAAATGACATGACTAACCTTGGCAACCGTGCTTCCTTGATGTTGGCAGCAACTTATCTCTTTCCCACATTAGGGTTTTTATCCAAAATATTTACTCCCTATGTTTAATGGCGTGAAATTATATATATGACGTAAGTGCAGGGCCTTTTATTAAAAAAAAGAATTATTCAAAAATATACTGTAATTGCTGACATCTTAGGCAACAAAGATGTGTGTGTTTACGCTTTATTATAATAGTATGGATGTGAAAGTTTACATGGATGGATAGATGGATGTTTGTTAGAGTTTGTAGCCTAAACTGCTGTAGGGATCTCGATAAAATTTGGCATTCATGTTGAGGATAGTCTGGAAGAACACATAGGCTACTTGTTTTTTTTTAATACTACGCGGACGGAGTCGCGGGCGAAAGCTAGTACATTTATAAAAAGCGTTGTATTGATTGTTATTCCGTGTCTCGCTTCGAAATGTTCAAATGATTGTTGTTATTAGAGTGAAACACCAAATTCCCAAACTGTACATACTCAGTATATTACGAGCAGTCTATTAAAAAAATAATCACTTGGTATACCATTATACTGACCTAAAGGCATAACGTGTCCGAAGTCATTCCCATCGCCAACTCCAGAGCAATTCCATCTGTACCCGCTAAGTTGCTCCCGACATTCCGCATACGCCATTCTGCAACAATATTATAAAAGCGAAAGTTTAGATGGATGGATGTTTGTTAGAGGTTGTAGCCTAAACGGCTGAACGGATCTCTATGAAATTTAGCATAGACCTAGAGGATAGTCTGGAAGAGCACATAGGCTACTTCCCTTTTTTTTAATTCCACGCGGCTGGAGTGGCGGGCCAAAGCTAATACATACATAAGAATAGGGTTTTTGGTAGTTTTAGCATATAAGAGGAATTTTGAGAATAGCCCCAGTGGTTGAGAAATTAAGGAGTAAAAGGTTAGCATGGTATGGGCATGTTATGAGGAGGGTGAATCGCGTGTAACAAGAAGCATGTTAGTTATGAATGTGGAGGTACACTATTAGTGATGTAACTTCAGGGAAGAGGTAGCCAAGTTCAAAGCGACTGTGATTACCTTAAGCCGTCTCCTACAGCGGCGA